AGAAAGTCCCCTGCAGTTCCAGAACAAGCTGCTAGGGGGACCAAACCCACACCACTTATTACTGACAAGAAAAGCTATCTGTCAGCAAAAATCAAGACCATAGCATGTTCAGGACAAAAGATACAAAAACTGGAAGTTCTGCTGCAGTACCAAGGCCATCCACCAAGAGGCCAATATTTGACCTTGACCTTTGTCTTCCTAAGACTTTACCAGCATACCAAATATCATCACAATCTAGTAATATATACTACAAATGTGCAGAAAAACAGACACGCCAAAAACAATACCTCAATTTTGCATGGACTCAGTAATAATTAAAAGTAAATTTCTTTATAAAAAAAAATTGAGATTAAGAGGACACACACTTGAAATCTCTATAGAGACAAGCTTTCTTGTAAGGAATGTTGATGCCTGGATCAAGAAATGGACTATATATTTTCCTTGCAGAAGAATTTTTTTTTTTAAACTAAACTAAACTGCCTGAAACTGTATGTATCAATGTGGCATGACGGCTGCTGAAGTTGACCATTATTGTTTTTAACTTAGACGATTTCTTTGCCCGCATCTAATGTGTTTTGTGAATAGGAAGCTTAAAAAGTTTCTCTTACTGATGGAGAAAACTATTATTCATTGTGACCTACAGTCATCATCCTGGTGACTGTTGTCGGTGGGCTCCTCACCATACTAGCCATCTGCACACGCCCAGACCTACGGAAACTGGTCAACGTGCCACTGGTCAGCCTAAGTTGTACAGACATCCTCTTCAGCACCTTCTTTTCCCCCTTCTGGATCCAGCAGATCCTAAACCCCCATTGGGAGCCCCCACCAGCCCTGTGCTGGCTGACAGCCTATGCCGCTGTAGTGCTAGCCGGGGCATCATCATGCCACATGTTGTGTATCGCTCTTCAGAGGTATTTCATGATCTGTACTGACAGCACATGTCTGAAGTCCATGCGGGCTCTTATCATCATACTCTTGCTCACATGGTTGGTCCCCATCACTTCTTTCCTGCCTCTCTATGTCAGTGAGGAAGTTAAGGTAGACCCAAAGCTGAAACGATGCTCCTTGGGAAATTCTGACAAACTCTGGGCAAAGATTCCTGCGGCCATTCTAAACTTCGTCATCCCATACATCGCTGCCCTTGCCTTTTACATCCTCATCCAGAACCATGTGAGGAAGAGTAAGGACCGTGTCCAAGCTCATGCACAGGGCCCAAAAGTCCACTTGGCAGTGCCGACCTCACCAGGGGGAGGTGGTGTGGCTGTCCCTTCCACAAGCGCAGAAACCGTCAAGGCGACAAAGCCGATTAGAAATCTGGAGGGTGTAG